CCCCAGCTGCCCACAGGCCCCCCTTGCCGCACTGCCAGCCCCACGAGCTGGTGAAGACGCGGAGCCGGTGTCACGCGGCGGTGCCGGGCACAGGCAGGGGCTGCCGCGGGTGGGAAGGGGAAGGGCTGGTTACCTGTAGAACTGGAGCTGGCGCTTTGGGCTCCCGTACCTCGCGCTTCCGACAGCAATTGAGAGAAAGAAGAGAGATGCCACAAACCCCGTTAGAAAGGAGGAATGGGACTGAGTGGCAGAGCTGGTGGCCACAGGGAGGGTCGGTGGTGCCACATCACAGGGACACGGTGCAGCCGGCACCGATACCGGCACCAGCGTGATGCCGAGAGCAACCCGCTCGTTCCACAGCAGGTGCCAGCGCCCCAAAGTGCTGCTGCTGCCGCCTGGTTTTTTGCAGCTCTGGAAGCTCTTGTTCCAAGCGTGCTGGGGCAGTTCTGGGTGCTGTGGCGCCTGCCAGGGCAGCACCCCAGCTCGATGCCCTACAGAGCCCCCCTGGCACCGCCCTGTGCCCTTACCTGTAAATCATCCCTGGGGAGCCCGTCTGCCGCAGCGAGAGTCGCGCTGGGGAGTCAGTGGTGGATTCGGGATACATGGAGCTGGGCTGGGCTCCCCGGAGCCGCTCGCCACCTCACCCCTGCCACGGGGAAGAGAAAAAGAGGAAGAAATAGGGGTTTTGGGGCGCGCCCATGACGGTGCTTCCTGTTGCAGAAGCTTGTGAGCCGGATGGGCACAGGCAGCAGTGCAGGCAGCAGCGCAGGCAGGGCACAGCAGCCCTGCCAGCCCCCAACCTTCCTGACCCACCGCTGATCTCAAATCCATCCCGCCCCTCCCCTACGCCAATAAATCTGAAATTCAGTTGCTCTCCCCAAACTTCTGGGGCCCGTGGGAACAGCAGAGGGGGCTGCTTGCTGCCTGCCTTGCTGCCCAGCTGCTTGCCCTCCTGGTTGCCTATGGGAGGTGGGCAGGGCACACCATGGGCCAGCCCAGCTGGCACCAACCGCACGTCAGGAAATGGTGGAGAAACGTGGGCCTGAAAAATTAAACATTTTGCTGGTGTTTAAGACTAAAGCAGCCCCCAGAGGCAAGGGACAAGCCAAGGAATGGGAAATAGCTCAGCTTTTCCTGCAGCCAGCATGTGCTGTTGTGACCAGGGGTGCAGGAGCTCTGAGGGAAAGGGAGACTCACCCTCAGGCACCTCCCACCCTCCCTGTCCTTGTCCCCATGCTGGGGGGCATCCAGCATGACTCCCCAAGGAGCTGTGGTCCTGCTCCCGCTCCCCATCCTGTAACATCATCAGCAGTTTCCAGTAGCACAGAAAACCACACTTCCCTACAAAACTAGGGCAATTTTGCAAATTTAATCCATCTTTCTTCAGGCCTGTGAAATGCCATCTTTGTGCTGCAGGTCACCAGCTGCTTTTTTTCCTCAGATGGGGACTGAGATCTCCAAGCTTCCCAGCTGCCCTGGGCACAGTGGGAGTGTGGCCTTGCATGGCATGCTCATGTCCTGGCACGCATCCTGCCTGCATCCTGGCACGGTGTGCCTGCATTCTCCATCCCTCCCTCATCCCAGCACAGTGTGCCTGCATCCTGCATCTCCCTCACATCCTGTATCCCAGCCCTATGTTCCTGCACCCTGCATTCCTCCTGCATCCTGCATCCCTTCCTCATCCCTCCAGCATCCCAGCCCAGCGTGCCTGCATCCTGGTGCAGCCCTTGCAGCAACTGCGGCAGCCAAGCTGGTTCCTGCAAAGCCAACTGCCAGCCCCCTGCAGCCCCCAAACCTCTGCAGCCCCCAGTCCCACTGCAGAGCCCCATCTCTCTCCTCCCCTTTGGCCGCAGCCATGCTGGGGCAGGAGATCAGGTGGACTGGATAAATCCAGGTTTATTTTTGAGAGGGCAGGAGGGAGCTTCCCCCTCCCAAACAGGACCCTGCTGAGCCCCCAGTGCCATTGTGACCCCCTTGCATGTCCCAGGGCTGCTTGTGTCACTTGTGCTGTCCCCCAGGCCCCTCCTCCTGCAGCTACCTGCAACAATGCAGGGTGAGGGGCAGCCCCAGTGCAGGCACCGTCTGGCACATGAGAGCTTCTGAGAGCTGCCTCTTCCCTGCTCGGTGTCACTTAATTAGTGGCAGTATAATGAAGCTGGAGCGAGCTGGGGGGATGCTGGCAGGGGAGGCCGGACCTCCCGCACCAGCCACAGTGTCCTTGGTGCGCTGCCACAAACTGAGCCACAAACTTATCACAGGGCTTGGGACCAGCTCTGCTGGAGCTTCCTGTGGCTGGGTGGTGGGATGAGCTTGGCAGGACCTGCC